TCAGCAAAGGAAAGTCAAACTTAGAAATGGCAGAGGTAAACCTGATAGAAAGTAGCAGCAGAAATCAATGGACTACCACTTCTTATCCAGCTTTTTTAATTTTTTTTTTTATTTTTATTTCAGCACTTATCCAGCTTTTAACCAAAAACTAAGCTTCATGTGAACATCATAAATATTTTGCTTAAATAATTTCTTTTAAGAAAAACTAAGACATAATTTGTAATCTACCACTTTTATCAGTCTTTCTTAACATCACTGGCCTGTGCGTCCATACAACCAGTTCAGAAGGATGAATCTTTACAATCACCCAGTAAGTTACATCCGTATCTTGCTCTCTTCTAATCTAGTCAATATTGAGTCCCTTGGAAGGTACAGTTTATGACATCAGGATAAGGGTCATATAAAATCTTGCTCTCATCACCTCTCTTCCTTACAATTTGTCTCCTGTAGTTTCTTCCCACTATTCCATAAACATGCTCATGTATCTCCTAGGCTTTATGAAAAAAACTTCTTTTGACACTTTGTCCTTCTAAAACTACTACCCTGTCTTCACTGAATTCCTTAAAGACTAGTTATATTCGGTCTGCTATTTTCCCTTTCCCACTTTTTTTTTTTAGTTGACTAAAATCTGGTTTCAGTTATCAACCACCTCTTTGTTATTATCATGAACTACTTCAGACCTATGCAAAAGTATCAAAAATGATATATACACTTGACATTCTCCCTTTGTTTCCTCCTCAATCTCAGTCCCTTCCTTTTCCCCAGAGGGAATTACTACCTCTGGGGAATTTGAAGTAGATTATTCCTAGGCATAATTTTTACACTGTTCCTACATATATTTGGTTCTGAAAACTGTATGTAGAGTTGTATTTCAGGTTTCTAAACTATAAACAGTATTACGCTGTACCTACCGGCTTTTGGTAACATGCTTTTTAATTTTTGCTCGAGATAATGTTTTTGAGATTTGTCCTGTGGATATATTTAGCTATAGTTAATTCATTTTAACGAGTCCTTAGCGTCCCATTACACGAATCTCTAAAAATTATTTTTATATTCTTAAGTTGATGGGAAATTTATCACTATTAAAATCTATGCTGCAATAAATATTCTTTTCAAGTTTGTTTGTACATGTGTGCAAAAGTTTCTCTAAGATTTATGTCTGGATAAGAAATAGTTGGGTCATCTCCAACTTTATAAGATAGGATCAAATTAAATTGGTCTCTAAAGTAGGTGTACTAATTTATAGTCTTCCCATGGTGTTCAATTTTTTCCAACCTGAGGGGTGTAAGATAGTTTCTCACTGTGATTTTAATATACATTTCCTTAATTATTACTGAGTTTGAGTGTCTTTTATCTGCGTTTTCTCTTTTATGAATTACCTGTTCATATTGTTTGCTCATTTTTCTGTTTGGACACCTTTTTGTTAATTTTTAGGAGTTTTTGATATTATTCTGCAATTCTTTTCATTTATAGTCTCTTGAACATATTTTTTTCAATGTAGTCACAATTTATTAAACTTTTTGTTTATTAAACAATATTTATGGAGCACTTACCATGTGCTAGGTGTTTTAGAAACTGGGGGCATTGTAGTATATAGAGCCACTTTAGCCCCTAATTGAGTGCATATTTCAGTTTAGGGGACATGAAAAATAAATAAATAACATCAGGTGTAAAGTTCAATGAAAAAAATAAAGCAGGGTGTAAAGGAAGTGGTCATTTTATTATTGATATTAAATAATATACAACTTAACCCATTTTCCTAGTGAAGAATATTCCTTCCAGTTCATATAACCTCCCCCTTATGTTTTTGATGTTACAAATAATGTTGCTGTAAATAACAGTTCACCTGTTTTCTGGTGTGAACTTTCTCTAGGGCATCTCTAGGAGGGGAACTACTGGGTAATACGATATGCAAATGTGCTATTTTACACGAGGATGCCAAAGTGCTTTTAAAATGGTCGAAAAAATACTCCACATTTTTAGGCTTGTGCTGATAAGCATCCATATCAGTACTTGTCATTATGAAGGTTTTTGTGAATAGAGTAAGAATCCAGTGATAGCTCACTGCAAATTTAGAAACAGTACATAAACTGTCAACAGGTGCAAGCACAGTTTTCATTTCATTACCTTCTGCTTTTCCATTTCTCCACCCACTTTCAAATAATTGTTGTGTTGTGTTGTGTTGCATTGTGAGAGCAACACACAGAAAAGGCATCAATAAAAAACTACTGAAGGCAGAGGATATTAATACCTCAATGAGACAAACTTATTGTAAACCCTGTGTCCTATCTATCTACCTATCTTCCTTAGATTTAGAAATCAAAATTGAGATGATTTTCACAGGGACACGTATTAACCCATTTGTTACAACATAAAAAAGCCAGATTTTTTTCCTGATGAAAGATAACTCTGTTTTAGGTGATTGTTTTGACAGTGAAAACTGGGTTTACCAATTATTTATGATAAATAAATTCTATAAATGGAATAAGCTAAATTATACTCCAAGGTTTTTTTTTGTTTTGTTTTCATTGTTTTCTCATTTGTTTGTTTGTTTTTGAGACAGGGTCTCACTTTGTTGCCAGTGCTAGAGTGCAGTGGTGTCATCACAGCTCACTGTGACCTCAAACTCCTGGGCTCAAGCCATCCTCTTGCCTCAGCTTCCCAAGCAGCTGGGACTACAGGTGTGCACTACCATGCACTGGCTAATTTTTCTGTTTTTTGTAGAGACAAGGTCTTGCCATGTTGCTCAGGGTGTTCTCGAATTCCTGGCCTCAAGTGATTCTCAAGCCTCGGCCTTCCAAAGTGCTAGGATTACAGGTGCTGAGCCACCATGCCCAGCCCTGTACTCCAAGGTTTTGATTAGACACACCTACATGCACATGTATACTCATACACATACATAGATAGCACATGATAAAAATAATTTATTAACCATATTATGCAGTCAAAGGTAACATGAAATTAATATTTCCCCTTTCTTATCCTTCTAAGTGAAAAAGTAGCAGGTTTAATTACTAGTTTGTTGGGTTTTTTTTTTAGAGTTTTAACAATGCCTTTTTGGCATTCACTGAGAGAGTGAATAACTTTAATGAGAAGATGAATTCTTTTGCAAGTTAGGTGGTTTCCAATTTTTTTGCTTTCAAAAAATTGAACAAGGACACAATTGAGTTGTCACCTGAAAGATCATTAAACATGATTTTTCATGATAAATAACTATGATTTTTGGTTCGCTGAACTGAATGATTTTTTTAATAACAAAAATTATTTATGTGAAAAAAGAATACAACTAATCCTGCAATGTGTCTCTATCAGTAAATAATATTTATACATGGCTACTTGATATAATTGGATAAAAATAGCTCAATCCATCTTACTATGAGCTATTTCCAATAAAATCTTACTTTTTCATGAATTTTTATTAAAAATTAATGTATACTGCTTTAAGCACTAAAAATAATTATAATGATAACTCAGAAGAAAAATTTTAACACCTAAAGACTATGATTGCAGAAACAAAAACAATTAATAATTCAATTTAGATATACATCTTAGTTACAAAGTTATAAAACATGAAAGGATGATTCATCAAAGACTGCCAAATATAAAATATTGTTTAACAGCTTAATATACTGTGGGGGGAATTCATTTTTCAAAGAAAAAAAATGAAATGATATAAAATTCCCTATTATGCACAATATTCTTATGTAATTTTTAAATATATGATGGTAATATATAATCGCTGTGAATCTGCTTTCATTACATACACTAAAAATTGTTGAAAAAGTGTCATTTCAAAATGTAAAAATTTTAGAACCTAAAAATGTGTGAGGTAATAACATAGTTTTTATATGGAGCACCTGAGCACAAAGGTTAATAGACAGTTGAACTAGAGGACTTGCTTGAATCTGCATTTGCACAGCAAGCACAGTTTCTATTTGGATTTTATGTTTATCTGGGATAACTTGAGGCCTGGGGTGACTGATGGAGATTATGGGGTGGCTACTTTGTTTTTATCTCTATGATATTATTTAATACTTCTATTTATAACCCACAGGCCTCAGAAAAGTGGCTTGAATACTTAGGTGTAAATAAAAAAGAAAATAATAATAATATAAAACAGCTTTCATTAAGCACTCACTCATTTAATACCTAAAACTTCCCTATGAAGTAGGCATTATTAATGCCTGTTAGCAGATCAGAAAGTTGAGGTTTTATGTTAAACAGAATCAGACGTAGGTCACAGAATTCATAGAATAGCAGGCCCAACTACTACAACAGCATGCATCTGCCTCAGTTTTCTCATCTTAAAATGGGGATAACAACACTGACTTTATAATTATTCCTCAAATATATTCTCATTGTAATTGCAAATAAAATTATTAACAATGTTTTGGAAAAAAGTAGAAAGATATATATAATCAGTTAGAAGTATGGACACACATGTTCACACACACACTGGTAAAATAATACACTCCTTGTAACACATCCCCAAATATTTCATATATTCTGAAGTTTGTTTCATCTCTTGGCAAGGTGATAGAGACAACTGTTTCACCACAGACTTTATATTTCCCCTGCGACAATTCAGCCAGTTTAAATTGTGTAATCTGAATTTTATAACTTAAGTATAAGTAAGACATCTGGGTGTCCATGAAGAGTTATTTGGATGCACTAAATCTGCAGTCCCCAACCCTTCTGGCATCAGTGACCAGTTTCATGAAAGAAATTTTGTCCATGGATGGGGCTGGGAGGGTAGCAGGGAGCGTGCAGCGGAGCTTAGACGATGATGCGAGTGATGGGCAGTGGCTGTAAATACAGAGGAAGCTTCCCTCACCCACTACTCGCCTCCTGCTGTGCGACCCAGTTCCTAAGTTTCATGGAAGACAGTTTTCCCATGGAGGGGGGTATGGGGGCCGGGGGAGACGCAGGGCCTGGGGGTTGGGGACCACAGCACTAAATCATGCATAGATTATCTGTTATTGCTTAGTCATTCAACTTACTTCTTGGGTAGCTTCATTTTTTTCACCTTTTCTTCAGCATGTTCATCTGATATACCCACATGACATCCTAATGCCAACAGAGTCCTGGAAAACAAAACCAGAGATAAGCTGCAATAGTTCCTTCTCTATGTCCAGAATAGCCCAACTTGATAGCAATGGGAATGAGACATAATCTTGAAAGCACGGCAGAGGTCTTTTGTTTTTAAAGCAAAAGGAAACTTTATTTATTTATTTACAAATTATTTACTTTCGAGTAAGGGGCAAGACACTGAAAATTGAAATGGCGCAAAAAGGAATACACTGAAAAACAACCCCTTCCCTTCCAGTTCTGTTTCCTTCCCCAAAGGCATCCGATGATCATCACAAATTCCCGTACCGCTTGCTGGAGAGTAGATGCACATACTAAAGCAGATATGCATGTGTGTGTCTGTGTTGTTGATTTTACTTTTTATACAAATGGATATATGCAAGAGACATTTTGACACAACCTGGCTTTAGTATCCATGTCAGTGAGTAGTTTCTCCTGTCTCGACAGAGTAAGATATAATGGCATATCCTTTTTGGATTACATAATTTCCAAGGTCTGGGCGGTTCCAGTAATGATGTGGGAATTATCTAAAACCCATCTATATGTATCTCCACAACATTTTAAAAATGTATGGGTAGGTAGATGGATACGCAGATACACACACACACACAGATGAATAGATATCCATATATATAAGTTTATCCATATGCACAAATAGATATATAAAAATATACGCACATAGATATATACACTTAAGTGTATATATTTATATATATATCAATATGTATTTATATGTGGATATGTATCTATCCATCTAAACACACATATCAAGTTAAATTTTAGCTTAAATATGGCAAAATTAAGATGACCCCATGAAATTACATTTCTTGTGTGTTAAACTACAAAACTATAGGTATACCAAGAACTGACTGAAGGTATAAAATAATGTAAATAAAGAATTTGCCAGTTAAAACGGGATTGGTCAGCAATAGAAGAATAGAAACTTGATTCACAGGAACAAATATAGGTTACACTTATTCAAATACACTGTCCAGGGGAGAGGAAGTATTTTGCCATCATCCACAATTCACTCATTCAGCCTTTTAATAAACATCTATTGAACACCACCAGTGCCCGGCCCTGTGCTACAGACGATTATAACGGCGCTTAAGTGCAATGGGAAAGGTACAGGGCTAAGAAAATATCAAGGACAGGTGGCTAACCCAGCTCTGTGGGAACTCAAGCTTGACCATAATGTTAGGATTTATCTTAAATTCAGGCAATTAAACCTCTGAGAGCAAGGACACCAAGAAATCTTCTGATTATAATGTGTCTTCCCAAGCTGATCTGTAAAAATGGGCAATGAAATGAATACTTTGCTGTGTAAGACAGGTATTATCACTGCAAATTAGTACCTCAGCATTACTCTCCATGAATGCAATTAACGAGAGTCCACACTGACAAAGTCATGTGGCGTCCTGATATCAAAAGTAGGCCTGAACCATAGAAAATTCAGTTAGTTAATATCATCCTTAAAGGCTCTGAGAGACAGTCAGTACTTTCAGCCACCTATACTATGATTTTCTCATAACTAATAATTCACCCTCATAATCTTCCCAGTGTAAAGTACCGAGAAAAGTACAAATTCAACTCACATGGACAGTGAACATAATATACTACACTTGCGTAAAGATACAAGTTGATAAATATTTATTGAGTTACCTCTACTTATAAGGTAGCTTGTAGTAGAGTAGTCCCCCCTTATCTGCGGGGGATATGTTCCAGGACCCCCAGTGGATGCGTGAAACCAAGGGTAGTACCAAATCCTACGTGTGCTATGTTTTTTCCTATACATACATAACTATGATAAAGTTTACTTTATAAATTAGGCCAGTAAGAGATTAATAACAATAACTAATAACAGAACAATTATAACAATATACTGTTCACAATTTCACGGAAAGAAGAATTGTTCTGACTGTAGATCTTAGCAACCTCCACGTGTGATTTTTTTCTTCTTTTGTTAAGTTGAGAACTTTCACCTTTTCACTCACAGGAAGCACTTTACAGTTTTTCTTTGGCATATCCAAATTGCCAGCATGACCACTCTTGTACTGCGTGGCCATTAATAAGTAAAATAAGAGTTATTTGAACACAAGCCCTGTAACACCAGCGAACCTGGCCAGTTCCCATGTGACTAAAGGGTGGAGAGTGTTTGCAACGCGTTGATGCCCTGGACAAAGGGAGGAGGATTCAGGTCCCAGGTGGGATAGAACGTGACAGCGTGAGATTTCATCACACTACGCTAATGGCATGCAATTTAAAACTTACAAGTTGTTTATTTCTAGAATTTTCCATTTAATATTTTCGGGGAGCTACTGTATACCTTTCTGTTGAACAGTGCTTACTGTCTGATGGGAAAGAAGACAATGATGAATAATTATAACAAAATCAAGCAGGATTCAAAGTAGGAAGCCACTGAAAAGGTTTCAGCAACATATGAATGAATGCATGTGCATGTGTGTGCGTGTGTGTGTGTGCGTGTGTGTGTGTGTACGTTGTGTGTATAAACTCGTGCTGCTATGTACAGAATGAACAGGGCAAGTGAGGGGACCGGTTAGGAGACTGCCTCGGTAGTCCAGTGGCAGATGCGGTGGCGTGGCCCAGGATGACTGGTGTGGAAATGGAGGAAGGGGACAGAGTGTGGATACACTTGGGAGGCCCTGGTGATGGGCTGGATGTAGGGATAAAATAAAACAGAAGGAGGCCTCTGGGATGATTTCTGGGTTCCTGGCTGGTACAGCAGGATGAATAGCAGGGGGTGCTATTCCCAGGGGAGGTGAGGCTGCAGCTCAAGGAGCTTCTGATGCATCCGGGGAAAACTCTACTGAGCGGTGGAACGCACACTTCTGTCGCTCAGAGCAGATGGTTGGGGTAGAGACAGACATGTGGGGAGCGGGGTAATTAAGTCGTGGGTGTGATGAGAATACCTCCAGAGTTTGCACAGTGAGAAGGAAAGGTCCAGGATTTAACAAAAAGATTCACAACATTTAGAGACTGGGAAGATTGTTGTCTTCTCGCCGCCCCCCAAGAAAAGGTACAGAGGGCGAAGGAAAACCTTCTCTTTTAGACAAAAATTATGCCTCTCCCCTTATCTGTTATTTTTCTCCCTTCCATATCACTCTCTTCTTCATCCCTGTGTCCCTGCTATTTCTTTCCATCTTCTGTGTACAAACACACAGCATTTCCTAAAAATAACTTTCAGGAAAAAATAGTTGGCCAGGAGAAAAACATCACTGTAGTCTCACTATATAGATTTTAACTTCCGAAGAAATAAATTCTATGAAGGTACATTAAATGTTGATTAAAAATCCTTGATTTCTAAAACATGACTTATTTATTCAGAAATTAAGATCTGGAATTTGGAAAACATTGCATGGACTGAAAACTAAACCAGAAACCAAGCCTTCAGTAACACTGATCACATTTTGGGGCCATCTGGTAGGCGAGGTCTACCAAGCTGTGCTGTTGTGAAAGAGAGTGTCAGAATTTTGCAGTACTGTACAATACACAGGTGACAATTCCAGTCTAAAGTAAGTTGTCATTGTCAACAATTTACGCAAGAGAAAATCACAGAAAGAGCACCAAAAATTCATATTCACATTAAATCTCCCTCAACCCAAATTAAGTAATATCTTGGAATGATTTCTCACTCATATATTATTTGGAACCTCTCAGGATTTAAACAAATAAAGTTGTTAATCCCTCCCCTGACATAAAACAAACATACAAAAAACCTAGACTGTGCCTCCTCTGTTAGACATATGGTGCTAGAGGTTGTACCACAATAATTCCATGAAGTAAATACATTATGGTCCTCATTTTATTAGAGAAAAGAAGATCTAAGGTTCAGAGAAGTTGAGTTACTCCAAAAAGATTCCCTTGACGGAACAAGTCCTTGAACCTAGACCATCCAACTCCAGAGCCTCCTCTGCTCTGGTGCCTGCCAACTAAATAGGTGAATAAAGGAAAAACAGAAGGAAAGCTCTATGCTTTCTCTAAACCACTGGAATTGGGCATAGTATGAATTTTGGAGAAGTAGGGGTATATTTCCCCTAATTTTAAAGAAATAAAAAAATCAATTCATCACAAAACCATATAAATACATACTACTTAGTTACAGGAATATCAATGAAGAAATATTAAGAATTAGTCCGTGAAAAGGGTCATTAGCATTCACCATAAGGAATAACACCATGGTACATGTAGTCGGATGATTAATCAATCAAACCAGCCACTGGTAGTTGTTAGGGATGAGATTGGATTATATGTGGCAGTCAAAGGCTCAACATACTAAATGCAAATACGGAGATCTCTACACTCCCGAATTTACTCTTTGCAATAGTTGCCGTGGCTGTCAATTGCTAAAATGATAGGGAATGTACTACAAATTTAACTAAATTATGTTAGACCATGCCCTTTCAATAAAACAATGGATTGTAAAAGATGGGGAACTAATGAGCTGCCGTGAATTACTAAGCTAAATGTACAAAAATCCCATGTCATGACCACAAGGGAAGATCGGAGACACTGAATATAAGTACCCAGGTCACAGCAACTGATTATGTGTTCCCTATTACAGGCAAACCTTGTCATTTTTTACCTTTTTAAGGTTCTAAATAGAGATAGTAACACTCATACGCCGCTGGTGGGACTGCAAACTAGTACAACCTCTATGGAAAGTAGCATGGAGATACCTCAAAAAGCTAAAGGTAGAACTCCCATTTGATTCAGCAATCCCACTACTGGGTATTTACCCAAGGGAAGAGGAAAAAAAAAACATTCTATAAAAAGATATCTGCACTCAAATGTCTATAGCAGCACAATTCACATTTGCAAAGATGTGGAAACAACCCAAGTGCCCATCAATACATGAGTGGATTAATGAAATGTGGTATATGTACACCATGGAGTTCTGCTCAGCCACAAAAAACAATGATGATCTAGCACCTCTTGTATTACCCTGGATGGAGCTGGAGCCCATTCTACTAAGTGAAATAACACAAGAATGGAAAAACAAACACCACATGTACTCACCATTTAATCTGAACTAATCCATCAACACTTATGTACACATATGGAAATAACCTTCATTGGAAATCAAGCAGGTGGGAGGGGGGAGGAGAGGATGGGTAAATTCACACCTAACGGGTACAGTGCACACTATCTGGGGGATGGGCACATGTCGGGAGTTAGTTACTTTTCCAGTAAAATAGGCCCCAGGCAGGATTGTCCTAAGAGATTTGGAAATAAGAGACAGAGACAAAGTGTAGTTTAAAGTGATGGGGGAGTTAGGGGTTTTCAGTATTTTTGTGAGTCAGGAGGCACTGAGTGAAATCCCACATTAGTACTTACTGTTATAGCAAGTAGTTTATTTTTGGTCAAAGAATTATGTGTACAGATTATTTGTTTAGGTTTTAAGGTTTCCCAAAGGTTTTAAGTGACCCTTATTTAATTTTTTCTATAAGAATAGATGGCTATAAAATTTTTTTAAGATAAACATTTTAAGCCCTAAGTTAAAAATAGACCTAGCTGAGTATACAAATTAAAGATAAAAATGTATAAAGTAGAAATATCGATTCTGCATATTAATTTAATCTATTTTTTTATATAGAGAGACATGTGGTCAGGAGTGAAGCAGGAATAGCTTTGAAGCTTAAGACAGTTCCAGTTGTACGTTGTCTGTTGGGCTGGTATTTAGATTAGTTTTTTAGCTTTGGGTCCAATGTCGAGCTCTGTCTTACACAAGTTTTAGGCGATGGCTTGCAGGCCTTGAGGCTGTGCCTCCTTATAGACGCCTCTGATCAGAGGAATGTCCCCCTTGTTGCTAAGTAGTTTTTAGTCTGTGAACTAACACGCCCACAGATTTCAAGACAAAGTCCTGTAAAACTCCTGAAACTTTTCATGTCTCTTCATGTTATATTCCAACAGGCGCACTTATAACTTTGACTCAAATGGCACGAAAGCAATTTATGTAACCAAAACGTTTGTACCCCTACAATATTCTGAAATTTAAAAAAAAAAGAGAAGGAATATATAGAGAGAGGGACAAGATGAAGGAACTATAATCTACTGTCTTTCTATTTTATTACTATATTAATAAGTACAGGGCAAGTAAAAAGGAGTTAGAAGAGTATGAAAAATAGTCCAGTGAAGTTCCTTTTGATATAAGAGAAGTTTAGATACTATTAAATAATAATCTAGTATTATGTGCCATTTAATGCATTATGGTATTTGAATCGTACATTTTAAAATAATTGACAAATAAAGATTCAATTTTTAAAAAATGATAAAAAATAAATTTACTTGATTTATATATACTCCTTTTAAGTTACTAGTAGAATTTAAACCCACTCCATGCCTAATTTGTTTATTTCCATGATAATTAATCTGCGTCTTTGAGAATATACAGTCATGTGTCCTTTCACTATGGGGATACATTCTGAAAAATCATCAGGCACTTTTGTCATTGTGTAAACATCATAGAGTGGGCTTACGCAAACCCACACGGTACAGCCTATTACTCCTAGGCTACAAACCTGTACAGCATGTTATTATACTGAATACTCTAGGGAATTGTAACACAATGGCAAGTATTTGTGTATGAAACATAGGAAAGGTAATGTATTGTACTATGATGTTATGACAGATATGATGTCACTAGGCAACAGGAATTTGTCAGCTCTATTATGATCTTATGGGACCACCACTACATATGTGGTCTGTTGTTGACCTTAGATGTCATTATGCTGCATATGACTGTACACCTGAACCCAAATTCTAGAATCTGAAACAGTTTTATGTTCTGGTTCCTTGGTAAAATAACTTCAATGCCAGTAACTTCTTACTTTTAACAAAACTGAAACAAACCAAAAGGAATAAGGTGTCATTTCAGACCTAAGACAAAAATATATTAGGATAAGTGACTTTTTGAACAAACCCAGTTCTATAGGACATCAAGGATGGAAAGGAGACAAAAAGAAAATTTACAGGCTTTTCAAAAATATTTTCTTTACTTTTATATATCAAATTTGGAAATTATATTCCTTCCTTTATTTTATCTCAGACCCATTCTTCTATATGCAAAAGTAACTGGCAAATTCAAGAGACTCGTGGGCAAAAAGTCACTGAAAAACAAATTTGCCTTTACAACATAGCATAAAATACTCAAAATGTGTTCCTCAGGCCAGGTGTGGAGGCAGGTGCCTGTAGTGCCAGCTACTCAGGAGGCTGGGGCAGGAGGATCACTTGAGCCCAGGAGTTTGAGGCTGCAGTGTGTTATGAAGGTGTCTGTGGCTAGCCACTGCACTCCAGACTGGGCAACACAGCAGGACCCTGTCTCTTAAAAAAAAAAAAAAAAGTATGTTGCTCAGATAAATGGTCCCCACAGGTACTCTCTGAAAAGAGGGTGCTATGGTTCAATAAATTTTGGAAGCACCATAACCAGACTCCTCCCCATTTTAGAGATTCATGGTACACAGTAACATTTTAAAAGTTCTGAAAGTTCATCAATAAAAATAAGAAATTATTTAACTATTTCAATTCAGCATCTTTTAAATATATTAGATCAGTCTTTCTCAAACTATTTGATGGTGAAGAACTAATTTTCTTTTAATTTCCAGTCTATTGTGGTCTGATTCTTTAATAACAATAAAATTGTTGGAGAAAATTAAATTTTCAAAATGAAGACATACAAGATACCTTACATTTCTTTAAAATTATTAGATTTAATAGACATAAAATTGCTCCCTTAAATTTGTATAAAAGTTTCCAAACACTTACTCTTAATATCTTTACTTATCTTGCCACAAACCGGTAACAATTTGTGATTGGCCCGGTCCCTGGACCACATTCCACACTCTGTGAACCACTACTGTATCGGACCACAGAACCCTCGTGTTCCATAATACCTATAAACATCTATAGAATACCCTTTGCGAAATACTGATGCAGAGCAAAAAGACATAAAATAATAGGGTCGAAGTCTAATTCCCAACAAATACTAATTCAATCTGCCTATGCATTATAAAAAGTTCTAGCTTCATTTAAAACAACTTCACAGCTGAATTAAAGTATAACATCAATACCTGGTTTCTTTCAGATAAGGCAGATTGGAAAACAGAAAAAGGTAAGAAACTCACTTCAAGGTCTCAAGTGACATTTGTAAGTTGTAATTGCGTTCCTGCTCAGGCAGCTTGGAGAACTCCACCAGACATGGATGTTGTCTCTTATTGTCATCTCTAACCTGAAACAGGACAGGAAATCGACATGTAATAGTCTCCCATATCGGACACTAGCAATGGTGATTCACTTGTGTGGCGGAAAGTGGGAAGGGAAAGAAAGAAGAAACGTCCAGATCGTCACCCAGCAAAGCTGCCTCTATAATCTCCTAGCACAGTTAGTATCTGAGGTCACTCGTAAAGTTAGCACTATCTGCGCTCCTTCTTCTCCATTTGGCACAGTTTATGGCCTTGGCTTCCGTGGGCCTCTGCCATGGCCACTCCTACCCCAATACCCATGGGCTCGCTCCCTGAGCTCCTCCCAACATTTCTCTAAATCTCACTTTCCCAATGAGGTGTACCCTGACCACTTGCCTAATAAGACAACCAGGTCCATAAATACTTACCACCTTCTAACAGACTAGATCCTTATTAATAACGATGGTTACTGGGCTATCATCTGTCTCCCTGCTCTAGAATGTAAGACCAATGGAACAAAGATTCTGGTCTCTTTCATTCTTTGATATATGCCAAACACCTAGACATGCCTGGCATGTGGCGGGCACTTAACAATATTATATAAATTGAAATTAATTCTGTGTAAGAAGGGTATGGTAATGACTTGATTCTAATTTGTAGTAATTTTTGTGTGTAGAGTCAAACTCATTAGAAACATCAATTAATGACATGACTGACCGATATAAACTCTTTGAGGTGGTTCTGGCTGTTCATTTCACCCTGTCAGTTACCTCCTGCTCTTACAAATCACTCTACTACCTTAACGAAATCAGTTAGCATAATAAGGCAGTTTTCATATTAATCCTTGAAAGTATATATTAGCAATTGCATTAAACTAAATTCAAGATTTTAGGAATAATTTATGAGAAAGATGCTCTCTATCCTTGCATTAGTAATTAGGTTTGTTATCTTCTTAGAGACCTAAATTACATAGGCATCATTGCTAGGGTAGCACCTCGATGACAGCCATATGCTGTCAGGGAACAAATTACTCCATGAGAATAATTACCAGGTTCTATAATTGCCACATAAAAAGTATGCAGAGTGAGACTTTTCAAAAGTCTTCAGGAGTCACCAAGTTAGAAATGATCTATTTATTCCTTCCTTGCTGGTGATCATTACAGGACTTACATAGCAGCATGTATTATGTATATTTACTTAAATGCACGACTCTGGAAATGAAATCGAGTTATAAAATTCAACACTACACTCTAAATTTCTAACCCTAAATGCTAAACATAAAAGTGAAAACGAATGTGTCTGAGTCCTAAGATAATATCCTCCCCATTTATGTAATCTCCAACCTCCCATCTATTCTCTACAACAAATAACCACCACCACCACCTTCTCAGGTGTCCAAGCTAGAACAAGACAGCTGCTCAGATTTCCTTCCCTCTCTTACCACAGCCCATACCTGAACTCTGAAGCATCTCCAGTAATCACCTCTCTCCATCCCCACTGCCAGGCTCAGAGTTAGCACCTCTCGCCTGGGGCACCTGAGCCCTCTCCCTGCGTCTCCCACTGCCTCAAGGCTCACTGCTTTCCCCACACTCACAGCGGAGCTCCTTTCTAACACATGGACTTAAGTATGTCGCCCCTCTCCTAAGCATTTTTCAACACTCTTTAGACCCCTACAGAATAAAATCATATTCTGCCCCAAGTCTTTTGTGACATGCCTCCTGCTAACGTGGCCTGACATCCCACTTCTATTCCTCTGTACCACAGCACCTTGTCCTTTGCCCTCTGGCAACGCTGTGTTGCTGAAAGGTCATTGCAAATGTCCTGTTCCTTCCACCTCCTCATTTTTACACTTGCCAGGTCCTCTGCCTAGAATATGGTCCCGCTCTCTGATTGCTAGCCAACTTGTACTCATCCTTCAGCCTCAGATCAAGTATTTGCCTCTTCCTGGAAGCCTTCCCTGATTTCCCAGGAAAGACCTAAATATTTCTTCTTCACTCTGTAATTGTTTGCATGTCTGTTATTCAACTAACCAGGAAGTTCCTAAAAGGCAAACACAGTACCTTAAAGTCAAGGTCTTTTCAACGTTGGGTCCCCGGTAACAAGCAAACCAGGCAAACAATAGGCATGCAATACATTTTAAAGGGACAGATAAATGACAGAATGTCTCTGCATGATGTTATTCCATAAAATAGAGCCTGTGCATGATGCTCCAATGAAATATATCCCAAAGACTGATAACTTTCAATTGTCTAGGCAATTAGACTCTCCTTCAGTGAACCTGCCAGTAATGTCAGCCCATTTACTACAATAATACAGTAAAGCAAAACTGCCCCAAAACTAATGTGCAGGGGAAAAAAAATCAATCCAATCGACTTATGTCATCCGATAGGAGGATGAGGGAGAAAAAGTTATGTTTTCAGAAAGATGTACTAACAGAATCTGAAAATAAATTTCAAAATTATGTACCGGACCATATTGCCAGCCAAGTTCGATTTTATTCATAACCCAGAGTTCATGGATATTCTCTGCCAGTTTTTCTCTTATCCTCTCTAGATGAGGAGGCAACACAATCTAAAATTTAAAAAAAGAAAAAGAAAACATACATCAGAAACAAACAGGGTTAATTGTCTTCGCTGTGAATTAAACTAAACTGCCTCACAAACCATTAAAATATAATAATATAATTAGATTCTAAATTATCTCATGACATTCTTTAGATAAATTTTGGGGCCTTCATTTTTGACAACTTAGGTTTCCAACTGAGTTCAGGAACAAAAACAAAAAAGGAGTATTGGTGGGGACAAAGAAAGATATTTAATGGATATGGGACAACAACCAAAGTGTGCATTATTTAAAACAAGAAATCACCCCAAAGCTCTCACACCAACCTGGCCGGCATCCACAGGCCAGGGTGAAGGAAATTCAGTGCCCAAGTTATAATTCACTGGCTCTTTGAGCTTGTAAATGTCTGATTGCAGTGATTTATGTTTTTCCTTAACTCTGCTCTGTTACTGGTAGTGGTTTCCAAATATAAGCCTCAAGGAAAAAAATCATTACATGTTCCCATTCAAAGGAGAAAGTTAAATGCTCATAAAAAAACACAAGGTGAGGAGCTAGCTGTTTACATCTTGATAAAGCACTTCTGTGTGACCCCACCACTAGTCCCTCACCAGATGGAGCTGGAAATTGCCTACAATGCCCACCAAGGAGGTAGCATCTCCACAGGGAGTAGGTGATCACTGCTTTCTCTCCCTGAGACAGCAAAGGTCAGCTAGACTCGGGCAATCCCCAATGTGCTACCATTCCATAATCTAGCTGTCCATTTCTAGCCTCCCAATTTTGTTTCCTACCAAACTTAGGTAGAGCTGGACATACCCTGCTACATTTCTTCAACGGACAACATATACTGAATTTTAGCCATGAACAATGCTTGCATGTTTAACTATATAATAGAAAAAGCCAGTACTGAGGAATAAGAAATATGATTCTGGGAGCTAAACAACTGGTTGCTAAATAAATGAAGCTTCTCAGGCCTGGTATTAATTCAACTTCAAATTCTACAAACAATGTCTTTGATCTTCAAAATAATAAGCTTTGAGTATGTAACCAGCCTCACTGAGGTTACATCCCCATCAAAACAAATACATATTTAATATTTAATTCAACCTCTGGACACCATTACATCTATGAAACAGAAAAGCAGGAACAATGGCTAACGTTTCTTGGGTGCCTACGTGCCAAGTAATATGTTATCTATTAAGTATGGCAAACATATTCTCAGCATTTTAATCAACAAGGTAACTTCCCCAAGGTCCCAGAGCAGGCATTTGATCTCAGGAGTTTTGACTCTAAAGTTCATGATCTCAATCTCTACCCAAGACAAACATCAGTTAAATATCTTTTAGATAATAAATTTGTCTAAATGGAAGAAGAAATTAAAAACTCCATGTGAAAATGTACATTCTAAAACTAATAAGCATTACATCTATATGATATTATTTCAAGTGTAGTACACTACCCCAGATATTAAATCAGGTTAACATTATCACACCTTAAAATTGCTCGTATAATTTTGTCACCAACTTCCATCTGTTGCTACTATAACTATTTTTTTTTAAGAGATGGGGTCTCTCTCTGTCACCCAGCCTGGAGTGCAGTGGTACGATAATAGCTCACTGCAGCCTTGAACTCCTGGGCTAAAGTGACCCTCCTGCCAAAGCTTCCCTAGTAGCTGGAACTACAGGAATGTGCCACCATGACCAGCTAATTTTTTCATTTTATTTTTTGAGAAATGGGGTCTAGCTATGTTGCTCAAGCTGGTCTCGAATTCTTGGGCTCAAGCAATCTTCCTAACTCAGCCTCCTGAGTAGCTGAGATTATAGGTGCCAGCCATCATGCCTAGCTCCAATATTAACTATTTTAATAAAACCTAAAGACAATCATGAACAGTTTTAAAACTTTAGGTTGTGACCCAAGAGTGCATTATGAAATCAATTTATGGGGTTGGGACAACTATTAAAAAATAGAATAAAATAGAAAGTAAGTGGACATGGTAAAAGTGAACATTATTTTATGAGTTTTGTTTCAGGCATTTATGTCAATTGCATTACTGTAAAATGCATTCCTGTGGGTTGCAGTCCAAGTTTGAAAGCCGCTGATTATCAGAATGACTATAATACAAACGGTTGCCATTAGAGTTGATCTCGATACCTGGCTGGTGTCCACAGGGATTGGTGTGAAGGCAGCTTGTGTCAGGGAAACTGTAGGGCCCAGCAGGTCCCGTGTGTAAGTCCTTTCTTGCTTGTACTCTCGGCTGTGCTCCACTTTCAACTTCTCTTTTGGCAGAACAGCTTCATAACAAGGAGCATACCCAGGCGGAGGAAGGAATTTGAATTCCCCATGTCGTCCTCCAAGCAGAAAGCGTACCCTAAAAGGCATGCATGTCAGAATCAATTACATCTCTGGTGGACATAAAGGTTTTCTGATCAACAAAACATTAGGAAAAAATTATTTGTGCAAAATTAACTTTATCAGAAGCCACATATTTTCACTAAGTATCATCAAGATGTCCTCACCTTGGAATTTAAGAGTCTCTAATTGTAACAGGTGAAAAAGGAGGGCATCATATTGATCAAAAGAGAAAACCTGATTAGATTATGTAAATGGATCAGTGAAGACTTATCACTCAATGGAGAAATAACTAAAGCACACGTATCGTATTCCTATGGGAATGAAGTACCTGTCCATAATAAGTGGTCATTACGCGTCCCAAGGCACCCAAGTAAGCAACAGATAAAGAGAAGACATGATCTTAACGTCTGTATGCTTAAAATTACAGGGCTGAACTAGGTATGGGAAAAAAACAGTCGTTGTCCAGTACCCAATTTCCTAACGAAACTCCTTAAAGGGGATTCAGATGTCACTTCCAATTGCTGAAGAAAGTAGATAATCTTATTTTATTGTTTATCAATTTCAACAACAACAAAGAACTTACTAAAATCTTTTATACATCATACACATTTAATTAAAAAATAATCTGAGTTCCACTGAACAACATTTTTTAAACAGTTAAATGATACCAATTTCTTGGGGGCTATTAGCTTACAAAAATAAATTTAAATTTTTCATTTTATTACTAATTCTTTTTCTAATTTGTACTTGAGTCCCAGGCAAATCAAACTAAAATAAAATAAAACAAAAAGTGAGGAAAAACAAATACCTTAAAACAATCCAGATACCTATAGAAACATAATTTGTATAAATCACCAGAAAAGGTAATTTGGCACCTGGATAGTTAATATTTCATGATTACTGTGTCCCTTCTTCAATATGGTACTTTTGGAACTAGGAATTATTCCTGGGAGATGAATTATAACCAAAAGATTAACCAGAATAAATCAATGATCAGTAGAAATAAGGGAATCACCCTCATTAGGCAGAAATATTAATATATATATTTATGAGTATATAAATATATATATATTTAGATGTCATCTCTATATATGTAGATGACAGAATGGCCCCTTATTATAATAAACCATCATTTATTAAAGTTTTCTTTGTAGGACTCCAATGAACTATAATTTGAATTTCTGTTTCTCTCTGGTAGTATCAACAAAGGAAAGAGTGAGAGGAAACATCTTGGCACAGTCGACCATAGGCAGAGAATTTACAAGTGTAACAGGTGCAAGGGAACACTGAAAGGAGACTTGTGGACCTCATAAAAAGGCATTTAATTTTTGTAGAAATGAGGGAGTTTGGAGTGGGATGGGGAACTGTGGTTTATAAAAAAGGAAAATTGATGAAAATAAATATGAGAAAATAAGTGGTATTTTTAAACATTATTCAATTCCCCTTGTTAAATACAAAGATGAACTTGAGAAATGGACTCGAAATATTTTAGGATACTGGTTTGGGGGAGAGTTAGCCTCTTAAGATTCCCCTTTTGGGGGAACCCTGCCCCTTCCTTCAAGGGACAGGCAAATGCCCTGTGGACAGACGCCCGGGAGGGAGAAGCAAAGGTTAGAGGAGCAAGACAATGAATGGCATTGCAGAGTCCTCTGTGGAACTATGAGAAGTGAGAAGGGAAAGAGACCAAAAAACATAGACATACTAACTTTATTCCTGCAGAGAAACTAACAACTGGAAAGAAGAGGCCATCAATGTTGAAATTCTCAAACATTCCTTGAACAGGTTGTCCATTAATTCGGAATGAGATACTTGGAGCACTTAGATCTAAACAGCAACTGATGACATCATCCGTTCTCAACAGATGCTGGTTCGGTGAGTTTACAGTACGAGCAATACAACCTGTTGGGGGGGGGGGACATTAAGTAAGGTAATGTATTTTATCTCAGAAAGTCAACCTCAGAGCTAAAGCCAAAGATACAAATATGCAGCGACAAACCAATGCATGACACTAGAATGGAATGAATCTTGAATGCAAATTCATGTTATATGCTAAACTCTTTGATAAAAAAGGTTGCTTTTTTTCAGGAGCCAGGCTGCTCTCTTGGCTGTAAAGTGGACCTTCTGATTTGCAGAAATTTCTGCATGTAGATGGATGCCATTTGATGCGGAAATTATCTTAGAGTAGATAATATAATAACGATGTGAGAGGAACATCTCCGGGGAAAGATTTGACTTCAAATAACTACCTAAACCTACTACTTGTATGACCATCAGCAAATTACTTAACTTCTCCGAACTGTGATATGTTCTAAATAGAACACAAATAACATTACTTCCTAGAGTTGTGGTGATGATTAAATTAAATGTTTTACAAGTTAATGCAGTCTCAAGTATAGCAGGTACTGTAGCAGAATGCATGTCAGTTCCTTTTTCAAATGCTAAGTCCCCTTTGTTTTATAAATTCAAAATAAAAATATATAAGGATAATGAAAGCAGAAAATGTGATCATTTATTCCTGCAGCTCACTGTTTATTGCGAGATAACTATATACCCACTGGTTTATTTTTGTTTTACAAGTAAATTTGTTTCACAGAAGACCTTGGTTGGCTTCTTAAGTAAAGCAGAATACAATTTGAGATATGAAAATGATACTTGATAAATATCATTTCTCACCCTGGCCAACCTATGGTCCAAGCCCATTCCTGACTATATAAAGAGTCTTTTGCTAATTAGTCCCAAGGGTATCTGTTTCTCATTGCCGACTGCAGGAAAAGAAAGAAAGGTTCTCCCAAACATACATGTTCGCAAACACAAACATACCCTTCAGTATGAACGAAGACAAAAATAGATTTTATGATACATGCTTTGTATTTTTGTAACACTTCTTTTTATTTCTAGCATGCCAAGATTTTTAATAAGAACATATTTGAAATGCCAGTAGTAGAGAGTGTTTACTTTTCAAAATGTGGGCACTTCTTATTTTACCAATATTCAAATCTGTAAGCAATAAATTCACTATCAAATGACTCTTCTATAATTCCCTGACTATAATGAAGACAGCTTTTTAAAAAATCATATAAAAACAATGCAGCTCACAGAAAAAGGTCTATTTTCTTGTTTGTATCAAGATCTGTAGCTAATAAAAATGTTATTAAACAGGTATTTACTGTAATTCAAGCATGTCTAACAGTGACCATGATAAACTGCTTTGCAAGGTCAGAAACAAACTGATAAGAGAAGACCAACAGAGAACAACCTGAGGTGTGCAGTTTCGGTGGCACTCACACTGTGGAATCCACTTAGTAGCATTTTCAGGTTGCATTTACATAAACTATGTCAAATCCATATGAGAACTACATTCCTATTCTCTGCATTCACCAGAAAGGAAGACAGCAACACTCTGATTTATTATCCATCTTTCCTGTACTGTTCTATGACATTCCTCCATACTTCTTCTGTATTTAAATTCTCTTAAAGCACCAAAATTTTTCACACTTTTGTTCTTTTAAACATCTGGGACCTGGATGCCCAAAATCCAATTCTACATTCGGAGAGAGGAGATGTATTAATAGCAACACTGTGCAAAGTTTAAAGTGGAGAGAAAAAATGAAGACATAGCTCAAAACTTTTGCTTGTGAACCAAATCCCAGTTCCAAGAACATTGCTACTCTCTACTTATAAAATGTTAAGTGGTAGAGAATGTGCTCTATCCTAGAAGTCACCAATATTTGACACTTTAAATTCTGTATCAACCATTAAGAAAAAAGTAATAGAAGAATGACCCCAAGAAGATTATCCAAATGAATTTGACCTTGGTAATTTAGTCACATTCCAGATAATTTAGATGTGTCTTTGTTGACTATGAATCTAAAATTAGCAAAGCATTTCGTAGACCCCTAGAGGCTTGAGAGAACATACCTTTCAACTACAAGCATAATATAGTACATATTTTCTTGCCACTTTAAAAAATGAATAAAATTTCAAGATGATTTTTTTTCCTGAAATTCCACAACCTACCATCCTTTCTGTAATATGTCCACAGAGTCACTAAAATGTGTTTTGTTCTTATTGTTCTATTTAATAGATATTTGGTAATTAAAGGTATAATGCACTTGATTCAATTCTGTAATCACTAGGTACTTTTAATGGGTTGAAAGAAAAAGCTTCAAACCGAATAGAAAAACAAAAATGGTGAAATGTGTTATATGCTAAAATAATTGGAAGCAACTTGGCATTGTCTTATTAGACAATTATTATTTATTATTTTTCCCCTAAGCTCTGTGTAATGGGAAAACAAGTCAACATGTTTCATTCATTCGCCTGAGTACCCATTTCCTGCAGAGCAATACTAGCAGCTACAAAGAGAGAGAGAATAATAATATCCAAAGGATTATCATCAAAATGTATCATAAAATAGATATTTGCCCTATTTTATGTTTGATGGGTCTTCTGAAGTTAGTGCTCTTTGCCTGTGGTTGGTCAGTGTGAAAATTTTACCGTGAGAACAAGGCACTGTGATTACAGCCCGACCGGCACAGTGTACCCATATACGGGGCAGTCCACACGATTGCAAGGACTCAGACTACATGCCCCAGTGGTGAGATGAAATATCCAAAAACACAGCTTCATCTCTTCTAGACAACTGAGCTATTGGCACTGAATGTAAGAAAAATTCAGTAAGTGTTATTATTGTTAGATACAACTACATAGAGTGCGTTTAGTTTATAAATTCATTACCATAAACTCTTAGATTTCATTTGATTTAATTCATACTTTTCATAAGCTATCGAGCCTATAAAGCATTCATAAATGACTATCACTTGCAATCCGGAAGAGGCAAAGTTTAGCTTTTTATAACTTAAGCTAACTTTCTGTGCCTTCCATACGTAAAAAGCTTTATAAAATATGTCGAGGTCATATCAGGACTGTATTCTAAACGCAGCTTTATTAACACACGCATATGCCTGCAGAATTCAGATGACTTCTAACATACAAAAAACATCTACATAAGCAAGAGCTACACTTTTAAATGGAAACAACCAAACTATACCTCTTTATGAATCAGAGAAAAAATATTTTTTAATATGAAGTAAACTCATTTTCAATATACACTCATTTGTCAAAGCTGAGAATGGGTAGCTGGTGAAATGAACTATACCAGGGGTGGGGAAACTGTGGCCTTCTAGATCCTTAAGTGTGGCCTTCTGACTGAATCCAAATTCCACAAAACAAATCCTTTTATGTTTATTAATACATTTTTGTTTGTCTTTTATATGTTTATCTTATTTTAACAGTGAATGTATTTAAAATATCAAAGAATAAAATAAGTTTCAACGAAATAATCCTTCCAGACTAACCGGCACAATTAGAACATTCATAAGCCACAAGGGCTAAATTGACGGCTGCTATGCTCATGATTTAGTTCTAACTTCCCCCGCCTGACTGGCACCATTACCGCATGAGGCTGGTTGGTGAGAGTTTACAGGGGTTGAGTACGCCAGTCTGTTATCAGCTTTTGACAAGGGTGCACTGTGTTTCTCTTTGATGCGGAATTTGTGAATAGTTGCACAGCTCAACGGTATTTTTTAATTCTGTCTGCTTAAAAGCCCATCATGTCAAAGAAGACCAAGAGAACTGAAGAAAGAAAATCAATTTTTTAATGAGGACTGGGAATTGCAATATCATCTTGTTTCTGCTAAAGATAAGATGATTTGCTTGCTTTGTGATACTGCAATATCGACATTAAAGAAATGCAATGCTTATCAGCATTATAACACTCATAAGGACCACAGACATTTTAAATTAGAGGGAGAGGCACGAAAGGTTGCTCTGCAGAAATTAAAAGACAAAAAGCAAAAGCAAAAATTATTCCTTCAAGCAGCAATAAGACCTGGAAATAAGGCCACTGAAGCTACTTATAAAGTAGTTTATACGCTTGGGAAAAAAGGGAAGCCATACAATGATGTAGAAATTGTGAAAGAATGCATCGTCTAAGTTGTAGGATGCTTAGACCCCGATAACGTTCCAAAGTACAAATGACTGCCTCTTTTAAGAAGAACCATAATAATCGGCAGCATGAAGTAGCCTTCAACTTAACAGAACAATTCCATGCAATACTTCGAAGGTAATATATATATTATTCAATTGCTTTGGATGAATCACCTGATACTACTGACTCAACACAGGTTTTATACTTCATTCAGGTTATAACACAAAATTTTCTTTGCTACGAAGAGTTATTCACTTTGGGCACTCTTACAGACAGAACACGAGGAATAGATATCTTCAACAATTTTCAAGATAAATGTGGTGAAGTTGGACTGAATTTGGTAAATTTAATGAGTGTATGTACAGAGGGTGCACATTCCATGACAGGAAAACATGAAGGGTTTATTGCACAGATAAAAAAAAGTATTAACAGATCCAGATGTTCTCATTTCTTTTCATTGTATCTTGCATCAGCAAAATCTCTATGCTAAAGCTACTGTTTTAAGTGACACTTTGCAACAAGTTATAAGTCTTATTAACTATATTTGTGCAAATGCAACATGGCATGGTCAGTTTTGTAACATGCTAAAGCCGAACCATGAGGTATTCAATGAGGATTTGCCCTAGCATTCTAAAGTATGTCTGCTATCTCAGGGACAGGTATTAGTCAAAATTTTATCTCTGCGAGAACAGATAGTTAAATTTTATGAAGAATAGAATCAGCAATGTGAATTATTGAAAGACGATTTCTATAGGAATGTAGCATTTCTGTGCGATATCATGTCAAATCAAAACGACTTGAATATTTCTTTGCAAGGTAAAACTAAGTCTATATATGATATGTAGTAAAAAAATTCAACCATTTTGAAAAAAGTTATCTCTTTTCAAAACACTTCTTCAGAAGGAAATTTTGGATGAATATTTTCTGCAGTTAGCAAAGGTCACTGATGAGCAGGATGATATAGCGAATCATTTGAAGAATACACAGCTGTTACAGACCTATTAATTGGAGAATACAATGAAAGGTTCACTGACTTAGAGAATCATGACATCACACTCAAATTAGTGTTTTAGACTCACCTAGCAGATATCACCAAGGCACCTAAAGAACTACAGATGAACTGATTGAGCTCTCAGCAGATGACATTTTAAAGTCATTGTTTGATGCTAAGAAAGATCCCATTGAAATATGGAAAAAATGCAGTAGAATACCCATGCCTTCAGCAACAAGCCCAAAAAATGCTTTCTTGCTTTTTAAGTGCTTATTGCTTAGAATCTACATTCTCCTACCTAACCCAAATCAAGATGCTCTTAAGGTCATGAATGACAGGTACCCATCTAGAGGATCAACCGAAACTGCGGACCTCCATGCTGTAACCAAATATTCAAATGCTTTCCCAAAAAAGTAGACACAAAAAAGTCATTAAAAGGTTAGTTAACTTTAAAATTAACAAATAGTTTTCATTTTTTAAATTATTAAGTACATAATAGAGTTTTATAAAATAATGTACATTTTTAAGTATATCTAATTGAAGTTTCTTGATTACAGCTAAATTAATGCAGCCTTCCAACATGAAAAGGTTCCCCACCCCTGAACTTCACATTTTTAAACTGTTCTATGCTTCCAAAAGAAAGCATCATTTGCTTATGAACTACTACACTTTACAAATTACTTATTTTTGCCATTACATTCTCTAGCAGAAGGTTGAACTTAGTCTATTTCTTCCATTTATATTCCAGGGTTTGGTTTTTGTTCTTCTTACATCGGAAGCTAAAGCTTTGCACACCCCAATTAATAAGCAGGAAACATACAAGTAATTCACAGTTCATTCACTCATTGGAATGCCACTCTTTAAATATACAGTACTATTCATAAGCAATACATTCTCTTGGAAAGGTACTATAATTATAAGCATTTTCTTTTCCCCCGATGAAATTCTGCTTTTTACTCAACACTCTCACTTGCCATCCTCAAGGTTAAGTTTCTGAATAGTGAATGTATCCTACAGAAGCAGTACCAATAGCTTTCAGAAATGCACAGCAAGAGCAAAAGATCTCCTTCTGGAACATGATGAAAGAAATTGGACAGTACTTACCTGACCAGAGATGAAGGCCATCGAATCCATAGGAGAAGAGATCATCTCCAACACCATTTCCACCCCACTCTTCGCCCCCTCCAGGGTAGGGAGAATACCCTTCGGTGGAAGCCCAGCCCACTCGCAAGTGAGTTGCTTCAGCTGTCACAAAGGGCTCTGTGTGGTCCACCATCAGTTCATAGTACCATTTCTTATACTGAGCAGACCCTTCGCTGACGCCCAGAAAAATATTGGGTCTCATGCTTTAAAGAGATAGGAAGAGCATATGAGAAAATCCAAATAAATGTTCCATTGTTTTTATTTACATCTCACTATTTTGAACATTAGTCCTGCTTAAGATGCCACATTTTAAATTAATGTTTCTTTAAATACTATAAAATCATTAAAATAACCACTGAACCACAGTGAAAGCTAGTTCTATAGCTTTGTGTCACATGGGGTATGAGGCTGAAGCAGGTCATGTTGTTTGTGAAGGAACCAAGGTAACTAATCAGTTTTGTTGTTCATGTGCCTCACTACGAACAGAAAAATTTTAGTAAGTCGTCTTTAATTCCATTTTAGGAGGGGACTTATGGGAATTCTCATGAGAGTACTAGGGTTTAGTGAAGGTCTCAGGAGTTACAACTCATTAACAGCAGGTTTGTTGCATAAAGAACCATGAAGGAAGTCTTACATCAATGTTGTTTAAAAAACACAACATAGAAATATACAACAAATCCTGTTTCTGTTTATACAGTGCGAATATCTCCTAGATAGCTGCTAGATGGAATGTACCAAAATTACTACCATCACACGTGGCATTTTGTTGACTATGAGCAGTATTTATTACTATTTATTTGTTTATTTGGAGGGATTAGAAAGGCAATGTGCCACTGTGCTTAAAAGCTCAGTCTCTGGAGTTAGACCCAGATTCCATTTCTAGTTCCAGTTTTTTTATCTATAAAATGTGGATGGTAGCAGTACCTAGGAAAGTACACACATAAAAACAGTATAGAATACATGTAAAGCACTTAGCATGGTAGTTGGCATATGGCACTCGATAAATGTTACCTATCTTGGAAGATAGATCTAACTGAAGATATAGTTTTATTGGTTATTTTTGGAATTTATTATATTTTGGACATTCTATTTTTTATTAGATATAGCAGGCAACTCAAAGTGATACTGAAGGACGGCATTTTTAGTTATATTCTAAGAAGGTGTAAAACATAATTCTTTACAACTACATCCCTATATGACTGTCAGGCTGCTCCTGAAGATGTCAATGATAAACAGAAGCTTCTAAACAAGGAAAATCCATAATTTCCATGGTTCATTTATTGTTATCCCATCTGATTGGTACAAAAGGTTTCTATTATTCACTGAGGAAATACATAAAAGATCCTAATTGAATATTAGCCATATAGTGTCATAGCTACAGGGTGAGAACATGAATTCTTTTGTTGTGTTACCCGTTTGGTGGCATTGTCTATCTGAATTTACCTGCTGACATGGTTCACAAGACGTGTCTGCAGTAGAAGATCTCTTCCTGGTAGGAGATTGTCACAGATGAGATGCTGGTTAGAACGGACTGCAACCCCATGGCAAACACAGAGTGAGCACAAGACGTCTAGAACCTGCAAAGAGAAATTACTGTCAACTGATTCTAATTCTCCTCCCAGAACCATGTACGAGCAGCACTTTCCACAAAACAAACATATTCCCTCCAGTTATGTTTGACTCAGTCATATAAAATTACAGTATATTTCCCACTGATTTTCCAGCTTTTCTTCATATACAAATTGAGAACTGTTGATACTCTCCCTGATGCTATGAATAAACACTAACCAGTATTATTACTTGATTGAAATTAAGAGATGAAAAATACTCATGAAAAATTTGACACCTCTTTTAAAAATTATCTTACGTTAAAAATATATTTTAAATGATTCTAGAATTCATTCACAGAAATAAAATGGTTTACTTTACCTTATGATTTCTTCCATGCTTGTCTAAAAGCGAGATAATGGATTTAATATGCCCTTCTTTAATAATATTAAGAGCTTCTGGACTTTCAACTAACACACAGTGTAAAACTTCGAGAATACCTAAAGGTAAAACAAAGAAAGGTAAAAAATGTAATCTTTCTGCTATGACCAGTGTCTTCCTTTTTCTCCATGTGTTCATTCAGCTCAACATATAATTATTTTGTGCTCAATGCGACTGTCACAAGGCACTGTGATAGGTGACAGGTGGTGTGTGGGAGAGGGGACTGATATCCAAAGGTGATGGAATCACAGTTGAGGGAGGAAAAGGCAGACAAGGAAGACACAGTGTTTAGCTGAGGAAGCACGTAATTCTACCTGCAGGAGGTAGAAAAGAAAGCAACATATAGGTAGGGCTCTAGAGAATACATTCAGTGATCGTTTTCAGACTTTCCAAGAAAGGAAGGGCGGTACATGCACGAGTGAAGTCTTGTTTGAAGGGCATACCTGGTGTGCCTAAAATGTACAGAGCGAGTGGGGAAGGGGACAGGTAGGTTAGGGTCAGCTTATGAGGCTTCCTGGCACTGAAAGTATAATCCTGCAACAATACATCCTAATTCATGGAGATCATTATGTTCTTCTTGAGGTTTATAGTAGACAATGTTTCTCAGTTTGCAAAATGAGAGAAACATACAATACAAAAATAAATAGAAATACACAATACGCAAAACCTGATTAAAAACAGTGATATTTTTAAGTATCCGCCATCACAAAAAGATAAAGTAGAACAAACTTTTTCTTACCTAAGTTTAAAAAAAAGGAAGATGAAAAAATTCATTATCATATTTTTTAGTGTGAATTTGAAAAGCTAAATGTGTACATCTGTATTCAGTTTTTCAGAGCAAGCTTGCCTCGTCAATAATGAGAATTCAGGCCACTCATAGTAAACAGACACAACATACAGAAAACATGATCTCTCACTGAGAGTTACATAGTATTGGGATGGGCCCAAGAGGAACCCTGGTAGAAAGATTCATACATCTCAAAGGGAGTTCATGTTCTTGGAAAAGAAATGTAAAGTTTCAAGTCTACGCAGGTAGAATACAGAAGTAATTCTCTAAGGTTCTCACAATTTATACTTGATCCAAGTTCCAATCCATTACAAGAGTAGGGCTGTTAATGCTAATTTCTTCACTAATGACTGACTTTGTTGAAATATTATATATTCAGTTAAAAAAAATAACCCAACAGATCATGAGTTAATTTTTGGTGCCATTCAAAATTAGCTGTTACGTTCCAACAACTCATAATAGTCAAAAATCAAAGATAATAGAAAATAATAATACAAGAGGCTGATGGATAAGTTAAAGAAGATGGTTACATAAGTATACTGAAACTCAATAATTTCCTTTAGTATTATTTAAAAAGCAGTGATAAAATAAACGTATTCATTCTGAGCTAAAATAAATGGAAAAGAATTTTTAATAGATTAGTCATGTTATTCTGATATTTTTGTTTGTTTTCTCCCCATTATTTATTACTATAGAACACACAGCTGCCTATTTTTGTAAATAAAGTTCTATTGTGTATTCCATGCACATTCCACACAGGTTTGCATACCTGTCTATGGCTGCTTTCATACTGCAAAAGCAGAGTTGAGTGGTTATAACAGACCTTGGTCTGTTATGGTCCACAGAACCTATAGTAATTACTATCTGGCTGCTATGAACTGAACGTTTGTGCCTCCCCAAAATTGGTAAATTGAAATCCTAACCCCCAAGGTGATGATGTTAGGAGGTGGGGCCTTTTGGGAGGTGATCAGCTCATGAGGGCAGAGCCCCTATGAATGGGATTAATGCCTTTATAAAGGAGGCCCCAGAGGAGCTTTTTGTTCCTTCCGCCATGGGAGGACCAGCTTTCTATTAGAAAGCATCCCCCACCAGACACCAAATCTGCAGGAGTCTTAATCTTGGACCTCCCAGTTTCCAGAACTATGAGAAATAAATTTCTGTTGTTTATAAACCACCCAGTTTATGATATTTTATTACAGCAGTCCTGATTGACTAAACACCAGCCTTTTACAGAAAAAGTTTGCCAATCCTTGGTATAGAATTTAACCATTAAGAAAAAAGACCAAGAAGTAGAAGACCAAGAACAATAAATTCTCTTGGTAAATAAATGTTCGTAAAGGCCCTAAACCTTTATATGCCTAAACCTAAATATACCAAAAAAGGTATAAAAATAGTTTGAGTAACGAATTCTTAAAAGGAAAACAAATTGGAAATACCAAAGAGATCATATTTGAAAGAAATAAAGAAGAGCTATAGTATATTATGTGCACATTTAAATCATGCTGATGTATGCCTTAAACTCTTGGGTGAAAAATGAGGTAGAGAAACGGTGCTTAATAAAGATTACAATGGCAATACTTGACAAAAGATGATTTGACCACTAAATACTAAATACGCTGAATAAGACCCAGAAATGGCAACAGTTCATAAAGCCTGTTGTCAGATTCTCAAAGAAAATTTGGTAGATATAACAGTATTACTGGAATAAAAGAATTATGAATGTCCTATAAATTTCCCAAAAAAATAAAATAAAATCTTAATCAAATACAAAAACTAGTAAGGCAAAGCAATTGGATTTTATAAGTTTTAATAAATTTATAGATGTGATTTTAATGAAACTTTTAATAACATAGAAATATATAAGGTAACTTTTAAAAAGTAGATGTAAAATAGGATAACTATTCTAATTGTAACTATGTAAAATGTATTTATTTGTATAAAATACATATTTCAAAAAAGACCAGAAGTTAATACATAAAATGTTAGTCCTGGTTATTGCTGGATTAGCAGGTACACTGCTCTTCCAACATTTCCATAAATCCTATGAAATGAGCATGCGTAACTTTTACAGTAAGAAACGTATTTAAAAAGAACCATAACACAACAGGAAGCCATAACACAAATGTCTATTTCCATTTTATTTCTGCCACTAAATCTCAATAATTATTCAATTCATGCAACTTACTGAAGTCTGACAACAAACAGGCAGTGACATTCCCTGCCTCTCCTCCATGCAGTATATAATTATAATTCACTTGCAATTTACGGATCAATTCTGTTTATGTCTAATCTTATACTTCTCCTAAGTTACATGAACTTATTTTCATTCCATAAATTTAGAATAAGCATAAACAAAACCTACCTGTTACCACACACAGAACACACAAATTATAGTACTGAGGGGCTACATCAAGACTCAGTGTTATACAGCAATAGACCAGGGTTGCTCGCAAGGTCCCGGCCATTTAATATGCAAGCTCTGCCTTAGTGAGGGGGGGTAACAAGAACTTAGGTTGACTACTCTAGGTTGGTTTCAAAGACCATTTCCTAATGGTCGTTAGGGTATTTCAACTAGAATGATCTCTACATGTCCCTAACTCAACTTTTCCAAAACTGAACATACTACAATTTTTTGTATACATACATGTAAAATTGCTTCTCCGGTCCATCCACATACTCCAGCTAAAAGTCTTAGGTCGTTGTGGAATCCTCTTTCACGTTCTCATTTTACCCAATCTAGTCATTAAATTTCGTTAATCCTGTGTCCTAATTTATCTCCTAACCTCATCCTTTTCTTTCTTTGAATAGCCTCTTACTATTTCCCTGCCTCTGGTCTCTCCTCCCTCCCCAATCCATCTTCCATACTGCGGGCAGCTGTTATTATAAAACACACATTGAATGGATGTCACCCCCTTATTTAAAATCTTCAATGGCTCCCCAGACTTTACAAGGTCAAAGTCCATTCCCCTAGGCATACTATTAAAGTATCAGTCCCTACACTAGACAGTGCCACCTTCCTTCACAGCCTCAATTCCCACCACTTCCTCCTACAAAGAATAATATACACTTTTACCTAAATATTGATCATAAATATTTATTAACTACCTACCAGGCACTGTTCTAAGCAGAGGGGATCAGCAGTAAACCAGAGAGGCAAAGCCATCCTGGAACTTGTAGGAACTTTCCCACCCTGAATCCTCTGCCTGTGCTATTCTCAGACTTAACCACACTTCCCTTTTCTGAGACTGCAAAATCTCAATCATTTTGCAGAGGTTGAAAGTCACCTCATTTGGTGAATCTTTACCAATGCCGTGGGATGAATCAATTATTCCCTTTTTCTGTAGTATTGATCACATTACATTAAAATTATTTACATTCATTTCAACCTCCCACTAAAGAAATGAGTCCTTGAGGACAGGGATTGATTCAATGTGGCCTCCTTGTCATCCAGCACACGGCCCAAGGAGGTCCATCTCATGTTTGCCAAATGAATAAGTGAATGAATATAATGAACTGTTAGTCCTCACCTTCAGTTTAAACCAAATAAATCTGCAATTTGTTTATTTACTCATAACAAAATTTATTATTGTAAAATGTATGCAGAATAACTACTATGCCATATTTTATATCTGGAGACTTTCATATTAAAACCTTTATTTTTTTAAAGGTAGAGAATACAGATGACACAATATAGAGAATTTATATTTCTTAGTGCTATGATTTCCTTACCTGTGTTTTAATTTCATTGGGGAAAAATGTGACTTGTGAATTAGGCAAATTTCTGTGGTGGTCGGCACAGAATATAAAATTGAGATTGTAGGCACTGCACGTTTAATACATGCAAATACTTAGCTATTTTCCTTAAAACTTTTATGGCTGAAACTTTCTGAATTATTTATATTCTCATCAGAAAGAAAAATCTCCGAGGATATAACAAAATATCAAGGAATAAATTAATGGTATTGGGAACAGCCAAGTGTTATGATGGGTAGAGAATGTTCTGCATCATGTTTTCCATAACCGAAGTACAGTGGCCCTGTGCTTTTTACTGACAGACCTACACTTTTGTTACTTGGCTTCTAAAACTGTAGGAGCTTCACCTGAGATCAAAGTTAACAGTGCTATTGTCTATTCACAGATCCCACTTGGGGCTTTCTGAGGTTGAACAAGATTTGTTGAGAGTCTGCATGAAAAAACTAGCAACAAGCCTCAGAGCAGGAGCGCTAAATGTGATCTGACTTTACCCACCAAGAAGAATCTAGTCTGGGGATT